GACGTTGATAAGATCCATACATTTAGAAGCACCTTAGGATGTCATAGCCTTAAAAGTGAAGGCGAGATTCAAACGAGGAAAGGCTTACGGTAGATACCTAGGCACCCAGAGACGAGAAAGGGCGTAGTAATAGACGAAATATTTCGGGATGTTGAAAATTAGCATAGATCCGGAGATTCACGAAAAATCCATTGGATTTAATTTTATTCAAAGAATTGACAAAATAATCAAGTCAATAGTAACTAGGCGTGGACAAATTTGCAAGTAACGGGCCCCACTAGCCACTTCAATTTTTCTTCCACGTGTCAATTTGTAGGCTCTTAAATCACTATCACTTCTTTTAAAATAGTAAAAGAAAAGTTGGGCCTCACTCAATATGTGGATCTCTTTGCTAAGACAAATATGACAACTTTTCAAATGCCAACTCTTGGAGTATAATTTTATCTCTTATTTAGCTCTTTACTAACTCTAATTATCTTTATAAAAATTTAACAAACCTCGGTGAAATTTTAATGCCAGCAAAAGCCATTTTACATGATAATGTTAGGATATAGAATAATGATTAGAGAGAAGTAGGCTACATATTCATTTTGGAATTTTTTATATACTATACAAATCTACTTATTGTACTTTTTGATTTCTATTTAAATCGTAGGTGCGATGATTTACTTCACGGGCGAGGTCTTTGGTTCAAGTCGAGGATGGCCCAGCTATGCCAGGGCGAGGTCTCTCGTTCAAGTCCAAGATGGCCTATCTATGCCAAGGGAAAAGAATAGAAGAAGCATTTGACTGCTTTATGCATGCTCCACTTGGCTCGGGGGATATAACTCTGTTGGTAGAGCTCCGCTCTTGCAATTGGGTCGTTGCTTTAACGGGTAGGATGTCTAATTGTCCACGCGGTAATGATAGTATTTTGTACCTGAACGGGCGGCTCACTTTTGCTAAGTAATGGGGAAGAGGACCGAAACGTGCCACTGAAAGACTCTACTGAGACAAAGATGCGCTGTCAAAAACATAGAGGAGGTAGGATGGGCAGTTGGTCAGATCTAGTATGGATCGTACATGGACGGTAGTTGGAGTCGGCGGCTCTCCCAAAGTTCCCTCATCTGAGATCTCTGGGGAAGAGGATCGAATTGGCCTTTGCGAACAACTTGATGCATTATCTCCCTTTAGCCCTTTGACAAAATGCGGTAAAAGGAAAGGAAGGAAAATTCATGGACCGACCCCATCATGTCCACCCCGTAGGAACTATGAGATTACCCCAAGGACGCCTTCGGCATACAGGGGTCACAGACCAACCATAGAACCCTATTCAATAAGTGAAACGCATTTGCTCTTCACTCTCAGGTTGGGCAGTCAGGGTCGGAGAAGGAAAATGGCTCATTCTTAGTTAGAATGGGATTCCAACTCAGCACCTTTTGAGTGAAATTTGGAGAAGAGTTGCTCTTTGAAGAGCATAGTACGATGAAATTTGCAAGTTGTGTTCGGGGGGGAGAGTGGTATTGTCTATCGTTGGCCTCTATGGTAGAATCAGTCGGGGAACCTGAGAGGCGGTGGTTTACCTTGCGGGGGATGTCAGTCGTTCGAGTCCGCTTATCTCCAACTCGTGAACTTAGCCGATACAAAGCTTTATGATAGCACCCAATTTTTCTGATTTGGCGGTTCGATCTATGATTTATCATTCATGGACGTTGATATGATCCATCCATTTAGCAGCACCTTAGGATGGCATAGCCTTAAAAGTGAAGGGCGAGATTCAAACGAGGAAAGGCTTACGGTTAATACCTAGGCACCCAGAGACGAGAAAGGGCGTAGTAATCGATGAAATGCTTCGGGAGGTTGAAAATTAGTATAGATCCGGAGATTCACGAAAAATTCATTGAGATTTAATTTTATTCGAAGAATTGACAAAATAATCAAGTCAATAGTAACTAGGCGTGGACAAATTTGCAAGAAACGGGGCCCCACTAGACACTTCAATTTTTCTTCCACACGCCAATTTGTAGGCTCTTAAATCACTATCACTTCTTTTAAAATAGAAAAAGAAAAGTTGGGCCTCACTGAATATAGGGATCTCTTTGTTAAGATAAATATGACAGCTTTTCAAATGCCAACTCTTGGAGTATAATTTTATCTCTTATTTACCTCTTTACTAACTCTAATTATCTTTATAAAAATTTAACAAACCTCGGTGAAATTTTAATGCCAGCAGAAGCCATTTAACATGATAATGTTAGGTTATAGAATAGAGATTAGAGAGAAGTAGGCTACATATTCATTTTGGAATTTTTTATATACCATACAAATCTACTTATTGTACTTTTTGATTTCTATTTAAATCGTAGGTACGATGATTTACTTCATGGGCGAGGTCTCTGGTTCATGTCCAGGATGGCCCAGCTATGCCAGGGCGAGGTCTCTGGTTCAAGTCTAGGATGGCCCAGCTACGCCAGGGAAAAGAATAGAAGAAGCATTTGACTGCTTCATACATGCTCCACTTGGCTCGGGGGATATAACTCTGTTGGTAGAGCTCCGCTCTTGCAATTGGGTCGTTGCGATTACGAGTAGGATGTCTAATAGTCCAGGCGGTAATGATAGTATTTTGTACCAGAACGGGCGGCTCACTTTTTTTAAGTAATGGGGAAGAGGACCGAAATGTGCCACTGAAAGACTCTACTGAGACAAAGATGGGCTGTCAAAAACATAGAGGAGGTAGGAAGGGCAGTTGGTCAGATCTAGTATGGATCGTACATGGACGGTAGTTGGAGTCGGCGGCTCTCCCAAAGTTCCCTCATCTGAGATCTCCGGGGAAGAGGATCGAGTTGGCCTTTGCGAACAACTTGATGCATTATCTCCCTTCACCCCTTTGAGCGAAATGCGGTAAAAGGAAAGGAAGGAAAATTCATGGACCGACCCAATCATGTCCACCCCGTAGGAACTATGAGATTACCCCAAGGACGCCTTCGGCATCCAGGGGTCACAGACCGACCATAGAACCCTGTTCAATAAGTGGAACGCATTTGACGTTGATAAGATCCATCTATTTAGCAACACCTTAGGATGGCATAGCCTTAAAAGTGAAGGGCGATATTCAAACGAGGAAAGGCTTACGGTAGATACCTAGGCATCCAGAGACGAGGAAGGGCGTTAATCGACGAAATGGTTCGGGGGTTGAAAATTAGCATAGATCCGGAGATTCACGAAAAATCCATAGAGATTTAATTTTATTTCAAGAATTGACAAAATAATCAAGTCAATAGTAACCAGGCGTGGACAAATTTGCAAGAAACGGGGCCCCACTGGCCACTTTAATTTTTCTTCCACACGTCAATTTGTAGACTCTTAAATCACTATCACTTCTTTTAAAATAGAAAAAAAAAAAGTTGGGTCCCACTGAATATGTGGATCTCTTTGCTAAGATAAATATGACTTGGATTCGATACCTTAAGATTTTGCAGAAATAACCACACTTCAGCTAATTGATATGCGCATCTGTAAGGAGTCAGTTGTGAATTCTACCAAGAATATTCAAGACGAAATTGAGGAGAGCTACGGAAGTTCTATTGAGGTCCGTTGTTGTTACCTCCTTTAGGTCGTATTTTACGTTGAATTGCTTTTATAATTATTACTTGTATATTCCTGTGTTCAACTTATAGGATTATTAGTAGCAAATGATATACTTTTTGAGTTTTGAAATACTTAGCTGACCTGTACATTCATGAGACAATTTATTTTCAACAGGATATTGGAGAAAACTATGCAAAATCTGTTGAGTTCCATATCAGTTAGGCTTGTAAGGCATCTTTTCACTTGATTCTTGTTATGTGAATTGATGCATCCTATTTATGAGATAAGTAAGAACATGTGACTATTCTGTGCTATTTAGTCGTCTTTCAAAGTTTAGGTCTAGGGCAGTCCGGTGCACTAAGCTTCCGCTACACGGGGGTGTCCGAGGAAGGCCCGGACCATAGAGGTCTATTTTACGCAGTCTTACCCTGCATTTATGCAAGAGCCTGTTTCCACCGCTCGAACCCATGACCATGAAACTTTACGCCAAGGCTTCCCTTCTCTTTCAAAATTTATGTATATTAGCGAAAGAAAGTTTAATTTCCTTACTAGTTTAGACAGGCCTAGTTTCTCTTATAACCTACCAACATTAAGAAAAGACTGAACGAAAATCCAATTGAAACCTACCAATATTAGGAAATCTGGTAAGGAATAATTACTATGCATACAAAAAAAAAGGGTTAATTATTTAATGCGAAATATCATATTAGTCAAAATATTATTTACTAAAATAAGAGTGACAAATAAAATTTTAAAAAAATGAAGATTAGAGTAAATACCATAAATTACAAAGATCTTCCCTTGGGTTAGTGCTAGCATAAGAAGGAAAAATAAATTTCCTTTTTGTAAGCCAATTATCTCTTTCTAAGATATTAAAAAAATTCAAGGAAAAAGTACACTAAAAATTTTGGATCAAATGGTTTTATGGATCTTTACAAATTAATTTTTAATTTTATGACCCCATCTTTTCAAAACTAAACATTAAAAAGAAAGTTTTGAGTATAAAATGCTAATTTTTATATTGACTGTATGTTGAACATACAATTTACGGCTTGCGTAATTGATCTAATTTAAATAGCCTGTTATTTAAAAGAAAGAGCATGAACTCATGAAGTATAAATTAATAATAATTATTATTATTTGTAATGAAACACTCGAGTATACAACAATTGAGAAAATGACAGAGTTAAGTTATTTTATTACTTTTAATTGTTTAAAAGTTGTTTAGAACCAGGACCCAAAAAGTTATTGGTCATAATATGCTATATAATTTTCTTGAACTTTTTTTAACATTTTCGCTTTCTCTTCTGAATTATCTTAAATTAAATTGACAATAAAAATTTACAATCACTCAACTAATCTCTACTTTAAATGATTAAACTACTATGATAAACAATGTATGTCAGATAAAGTGTACTTAAAAAGCTTCTGAATGGTACAAAATTAATATTACCACTAAAAATTAACAAGAGAAACATTAAATAGCTGTATATTTAAACACAAACTGCTCATATAATCGTTGGGAGCAAAAACTGCACTAGTAACTTTTAAATATTTGTAAATCGTGATCTTTTCTTCCATGAGGCATATTTTTAAAATCAAGTTGAACTTGGAGAGAGTCACATCCTGTCATATCCTCTACTTCTTTTTTAATGTTCAGAGCTGAATCCTCAACTGACTGCATGCAGCCCGTCAATCTGATCAACTTCAGTGTTTGGATATCTGCGAAGCTAGACGGGATCTCTTGAAGATACTCACAACGACGTATAACCAGTTTCTCAAGCACGGGGAAAGATGCCTCTGAGGAGCGCCATTCGGTCACATAAACAAATTTTAAGTTCAAATATTTGAGTGCTGGGAACTTGTAATCACCTACATCCCAACATCCGATTTCTTCATCCTTGAAGCGGATTCGACGTAGTTTGAGTTTCTCAAGATTTCGCAGTCTTGCAGTATTTGAAACAACTTTTTCTGTTAGGGCAATGCTATGAATGGACAATTCCTTTAGATTTGAGGGGAAAACAATACAGTTGCCCCTTCCGATTCCGTAGTGAGGCGAGCGTGGCATGTCTGAGAAGCCCACTTCGAGAGATTGAAGTGGGAGTTGTTCAAGATTTGGCATATCAAATTCTGGTGTGAGAAACTTACGATATCTCGGTACAGATGGTTCAACAATGTGGAGCTTGAGTTGTTCAATATTTGGAAATCTCCACCAGAACTCCGGAGTCATATCTGATAAATATATCCGGTATTTCCCGAAAGACTTCAAGTTTGGTAACACAGTTTGTGAAGATTCTTCGAAAATTGCTCGATCATTGTTATCCCATGCGAATTGAAGTTCCTTGATATCCACATGCCTTAGCTTCTGCATTTCCAAAAGACCAGAAGGGGATATCCTACGGCCAGATGGATTAGGGTAGTGCCACCCCACCCGCAAAGTTTGCAGATCTAGTAGGTGTGATACCCACGTGAAACGAAATTCATCGGTACGAATTGCAAGATACCTCAAGTGAGTTACTGCTTGCATTGCCCTAGCCCAAGAACTTCCCTCCAAGTAGACATTCAACAAATCCAACACCCGAATAAATCTAATGCAATCAAGTAAAAGGACATGATTTGTCAAACTCAGGTCCCATTTATAGAGTTTTGGATGAGCAATGAACTCAAGAGACCTACCATGACATTTAGCAAATGATCCCACTTCACTCAACTCCGCCAACATTGAAATTTTATCCAATGAATATTCATACTCCATCAACTGCTTGACCAGATCGTCATGAACGTACATACATAATCGAGGTTCCTTTGCACCTGAAGATTGGTCTGGATTATGCGGGATTATGACCTGCATATACTTTTCTTTAGCAAGTTTTCTCAAGCAAAACTCACGCACTACATCATGAAGAGTGCAGTACTTTATCTCACCATTATCTCTCCTTTTAGAAACCATTACAAGGCTTTTGCTCGCTAGATCATTCAAGAAATTTGTACATGCTTCCTCCAAGTTATATATGTCCGAATTCTGTACAAAATTTTCAGCCATCCACAACTTTAGCAAATTAGAAACCGGAATATTGTAGTCTTCTGGAAACAATCCCATGTAAAGAAGGCAAGCCTTTAAGTGATCTTTCAAATGTTCGTAACTTGATTCTATTATGCTCATACTTTTCTCTTCTAAGGCATGGGAACTTAAATCATTTGCGACCTTAAACCACAAAGAGGCTTGCCTTTTCTCTGAAATAATTCCAGCAATCAAGACAATCACAAGTGGTAATCCTTTACAGTTTTTGGCAACTCGCAATCCTGCCTCGAGCAACTCTTGTGGACAGATTTCTCCTTGAAAAACTTTCTTCTGGAGTAATTCCCAGCTCTCATCCACTGTGAGAAAACGAAGAAAGTATGGATCGCTGTGGAGCTTAAGCTGCCTAACCACTTGTTCATCTCGAGTTGTTACCACTACTCTGCTTCCATCTTCTCCATATGGGAAAGATAATCGCAACTCTTCCCATGCCTTAACTTCCCATATATCGTCTAACAAGATGAGGTATCTCTTGCGCATTAGACTCTTTCGCAACTCGTGAGGTATGTCTTCATCTCTTATACCATTCATACTGCCTTTGACTTGTTTAAGAATCTCAGAGAACACCTTCGTCGAGCTATATTCTTTTGAAATAGAGCACCATGCTCTAACATCAAAGTGTCTATTATCAATAAAATACTTAAACACCTTTCTAGCCAAAGTGGTTTTGCCGAGTCCTGGCATTCCAACAATCGAGATAATGTCTAGTTCCTTTGTTCCTCCAGTCAATTGTTGAATTATGATTTTTGCATCATCCTCAAAACCAACTACTTCCTCCTCCATTGATGGAAGACTATGTTTGGTAGAAGCTGTTGCATGAGCAAGAGATCTTTCGCCACCCTGAATGCCTTCCATGTCAATTAGCTTTGTCTCTCTTCGGCTGCTAGAAATAAATATTACTATGTTAGATCGATTGGCAAAGAGTAGTCGCGTAATGTTCAAATTAAATCTTATGACGTACCTTTTCTTCTTGATTCCGATGTTGTCCCTGTACAAAAATTTATTCTTTCCCATCCCTGTTGTTGAAAGACATTCTGTTCTTCACGTCAAATTAAAAGAAGACCAATGTGGAGTAGCAAAATTTGATCAGAGGTAATTCTTCGTTTGAAAGTCCCGCTATATGAACGTGAACTATGAAGGGTGGATGATGAGTTTGAAGTAGAAGCAGAGTATCAGGTTCAGACGACTTCAAACTGGATTGAGCGGGATGCCGTCCTAGCCTCCAAAAACAATTTGAAAATGGTTTCAAATTAATGAGGTGTTTTCACATATATATAACATATGGTCTGATGGCATATTACAAGTATCCTTTTGTTATATGACATTTATTCATGAAGATTAATAAAATGTAGTACAGGAAATCATAACAAAACATATGAGATCTTTGTTAGGCCATTCTCTTTTATACAAATTGTATCTGATAGCCAAAAAAGTGTATCAAAATTTGTTTAATTTGATTTTGTTTATATAATTTGTATATTTTTACTGTTATTTTTTTATAGCGGCTATATATGCGGTGTCATTTTTCCAATTTCTTTTCATTTTTATGCCTAGAGTACTACTGTTTAAGGCCTCATTAGCCACTATAAGGATAAAATTCAAGCTATCTCTGTAGATCGGGTGGGGGTTTCTTTGAAAGAAAATCATTAGCAAAGCATAAACATCAGACTAAAAAGATTTTAAAAAGAATAAAAATCATTACAATAAATTTAAAAGATTTTAATTTTTCAAAAAGGATCCATACATAGACATAAAGCACAAAAAATCTCACCTTGCACTAAGAAAAGCCGCTGCAGAAAAGATTATTGTTTTGAATTTAGGGTTTTGGAGTAGAGAAACTGAAGTAAAGGAGCTAGGAATTGGAAAGAAGATGGTGTAAAGGAGAAACTGAAGTAAATTAACGAGTGATGATTCATAGTTGTGGTTAGGATTATTAAATTTAATTAATAAACAATTATGTTTATATTAATCAATCAGGAAGGTGGCAATAAAAAAGTTAAAATAAAAATCCTGCACGTTGAAAAAGAATTTCAAACTTATGTTCAGACCTAACTTATATTTGGGGCAGGATTAAAATAGTTTCTTAAATATACTTTTAAATATTTTGGTTATTTAAGTGTCTAAAAGTGAGTACTTTTGGTTAGGGATGTGCGATTTAGCATATTTCGAATTCTAGAAAATGCAATTTGAATCTGATCCGAATTATATCGGATTAGATTTGAAAATTTGGATCAAATCGGATTTTGAATCGTATTAATATGCCTCAAAGTTAAATTAATATGTATATTTTCTTTGTAAAAAAGGCAATAGATTAAGAAAAATTCATGTTTATGCAATTATGAGAGCACTATGGTACCAATATAGCTAAATCTAGCAATTGTAAAGGTAATAACTAGGAGGTTGATGTAAAGGAAATACTTACTATCCGAAATTAAAGTGTATACACGCCCTAATAATTTCGGATTTCGGATCGAATCGGATTAAAATATATCAATCCGAAGTCCGAAATTTTAAAAAATACAATCCAAAATCCAATCCAATCCGAAATCTGAAATTGAATAGATCGGTTCGGATTTTGAATATCCGATCATAATGAACAACCCTACTTTTGGTTTTCATCATAGTGAATTCTGCTATTAGATTCAATGCAATAGCGGAAAAAATAATTTAACGGGAAACGCCAGAAAAGTTCGTAAAATTATAGCAATTGCAACACTAGAAACTACTCCAAATACAAGAAAGAAACTAAAAATAGTAGAATTGCACCTTCAAAGAAACAAAAAATTACACAAAAAATAGCAAAAATCATAAAAGGTGCACCTCCAATGTAAGTTCCCATTAATTTTTTTCTCATGTAGATTGCCACATGGCAGATTTTAAAAATAATTTGGAGAGCGTATTATATGCGCCAATAAGAAAGCGGCGATGAGTTTTTATATAATTTAGACAGATTTTAGGATATATTAACTCTAAATTAAAACTATCAGGATGGCCTAAAAGTATGTTAAGGATTTTACACATATCCAAATAAGGGAATTTTTTTGTTATTTTCTCTAATATTTGTTTGTTTTTAAAAAATCTGTATTCTCCATCCGACAAAAGTGTGTGCACTGTTTTAACTTTAATAAACTTTTGACCCATGCTACGTTCCTTTGTCAAACATTTGTCATTTAATAAATTTATTGGGGTGGGGTGGGGGTTGGG